AGCTCATTATCGTTAATTTGTTCACACCCACTCGCAGAGCGCGCTATTCATAAGATAATGTGTTGAGGCCATTTGCAAAATAGATAAACGCCCCCAGGCAAATGCTGTAAACGCACTATATTTTTTAGTCAGATTAAGATTCGTCTTGCGCGGCTATGAGGAATAATCCTGGGACATTTAATACAGAAGTGCTGGTTTATTTTCACTTCGAGGAGGAGCAACAGATTCAGCTGAGAACTGTAAGTGTTTTATGGCTGTGCTTTGTTCTAATCGCGATATAGAATAACGTTAGTGTCTGTAAACGGAAAAATAGCATACTGTGAATCATGTTTCTCTCTGTGTGTGTGTGTAAATGAATGAATGAACGCACAGATATGCACTGTTACAGACGAAATAAAAGACAAAATTTCGTTGACTAGTTTTGGATAAAGTTTTTCAAATCAAATAAGCATCAAATAAGCTTCAAAATAAAGACATCAGCTTTTGTTAGGAGTTTCTGGGGATAGAAGTGTCCAGACGTATGCACCCTGTATTTTAAAGAAGAACATTTAATTATTTGCGATACATTATTCATTCACAAAGAATTCAGGGACATTATTCACGTCCCTAAAGGTTAGAGTTTTCCTCATTTTTTAATTAAGGCATTAAGATTTTTTTATTCCTCTTTTTAGTCAACTTTAGCATGGGTGTGTTCTCTTCTAATTCTAAGCAGTGTGTGTGTGTGTATATATATATATATATATATATATATATATATAGCCTATAATTAAAAAGCTATTTTAACCAGAAAAATCTACAATGCATGCCCAAAGTCGTGCAGCCATATAGTTTCTCTTGATATCAGTCCTGCTGACTTCAACATTCACAGGAGACTGTAATGAAAAATCAAACACCTTGGAAATGACAGGTATGTACTATGTTTCAGGAATGGGACAATGCTGTGTGACTGTGTAAGCCTCTGTATTTAGATCAGTGTGTTTACTAATGTGGTTTTTTGTCCTTTGTTGTGTATCTTTGGATTATGTTGTGTTGTAAATAAATCCAAACAATCTAAAAGCCATTCTTTTTTAAATCTCCTCATTCTTTGTGCAAGGCTCCTCTAATGATATGGCCTGATAGCACCTAATAGGGCCATTATGGGAGGGTCTTTGTCTTTCTCAGGTGTGAAATGCCATACATATTAATGAGAGATCACGCCTCCTTGCATAAAGCTTTCTCAAACAAAACACGTCATACACATTCTAAAAGACTTTATTGACTTATCTGAATGAGTAGTCAGGATGATTCTCACATAGTTTTGGAGCAAAAATTCTAGGCTATGTGATACAATTTTCAAAAGTCTTGTGAAGAAATAATCAATATGTGTTTTGTGGACTTATTTCAGAAACTTTTATTTTTAAGTTTTTCAATAACCATGCATAAATAATATTCTCTCAAAAATACAAACATGTACATACATGTTGTTCACAGATTATGGTAGCCCCGTTTGTGCTATATAGAGTGAATTTACACCTTTGCCATTAACATGTTTATAAATAACTGAAAAAAGCACAAATGTCAGTGCATGTCAAAACATCCCAAGGGCCCCAAAAAACCCTTGGTCCCCAGAGGGTTAACTGACTAAATACAAAGAAAAAAATCCCATGTTTTCACTGGCCAAATGAATTGTGTTTTGTAAATACAAACTGATTTTGATTTTAAAGGCTGCAGCACACTCCAAAAATGTTGGGACAGAGGCAAAATAAAAGTGAAAAGATTATAGAATATCGAAGTTAAACTGTTTTGAAATAATCCACAATTAACAGGTGAATTGGTCATAGGTGAGGGGATCGTGTTTGGGTATAAATGGAGCATTCACCAAAGGCTCAGTCTTTGCAAGCAAAGATGGGTCATGGGTCTTTCATGAGAATTGTCTGGGGTTGTAGTATATTACAGTATATCACATTTATATCAAATTCATATTTAGGACACAGAAGACTCAGAAGACTGTTGAAAATATCCTGAGTATTAGAGCGTTTTATAAAAGAGATTAACAGCCAGGATCGGTTGTGGTTTCTTTGGAACGATGAGTCAGAACATTCATTACTTCAGTAAACACTTTTGTCTTTTCTGCCTCACTCTATTTTTCATTTTCTCTTTGATGGGTGAAGATGCGGTACCTGCTATAAAATACGATGCGTGGGTGTTTCGGTTTCTACAGTTCATGATTTAGATAATTTTGCAGCATATAGGATTTTTGTTAATACCAATGTAAAGTACAGGTTGTTCCCTTAATTGACTAAAATGAAAACATGATTAAAACATGAAAACAATACAGCGGGCCTGCATGGCTGCGGCTCATGATGAAGGACACGAGAGCTTTAATAAAATGATACTCATGTTGTTGACCCAATAATGAGTTAATCCTGGTTACCTTTCCATTATTTAGCCATGAATTGGGAGATTAAATAGATTCTACTACTTATTAAAAATGCTACATTTTAAAAATTAAATGGATTTTAGGTGGCAAAATCGGACAAAATCAATTGAATGCTGTCTAAAAACTAATTCTGAATTCAATCAGGGTTAAAATCAGTCTATTTTCAGTGGCTCACTTGTCTGCTATGAGAAAACGTGTGTGTGTCGCTGAAAAACCATCATCATTAGACAAAAATGACAAAGATGGACGGTTTGGATAGTGACTGTAATGTCACAATTTTCAAAAGCCATCTCCAATTCTAGGTAGCAATAACTCGACAAATAGAGACAAGAAATCAAAGGCTGCTGAAGTGCGACAGGCTGTTTTTATAATGCTACTCAATTCAACCCCAAAGCCATTTTACATTTTAATGTGTTTAGATTGAAGTGAGAGAGACAGAGCCAACACAGATAAACACAGATGTGGGGAATAAATCTCTAATTTAAGGAGCGGATTTAAGGATGCAGCATTCATTAATACATTAAAAAACGATGCAAAAGCACACCTGTTCGCAAAATAAAAACACATAGCTTCATCGTCATCACACTGCAATAGTCACAACTGTTTGCTTGCTGTTGGTCAGAAAGTGAAGTATTTAGGCAGTGTTTAGCATTTGTGAGGTTCTTGTGTGGGCGACAACGCTGATTGAGGCTGAATGCTCCTTCACTGCTGTTTGTAACAGCGCGGTGGGAGGCGAAATGTCTCAAAATGTCAAATTTAAAATTCCCAGGGAATCTGACACCCACTGCGGTCTGTAATCCAGGTTATTACCAGCCTTCACTCCCCCATATGTGAATCATATTCTCTTCTGGCATCAGTGCAAATCGGTGGATTTGAATACAAAGCTAAATAAAACATTGCTGCAGAAGGGCAGAGAGGAAGGTCAAATCGTAAAAGATGATATATCACAACTGCGTGCACTGTAAATTCTGCCACTTTACCTGTAGCCTTCCAGATCAAGCTTGCAGGGACGTTTTCAATGTGAACAGATATAGCCTTGACAATCTAATGACAATTTCAAATTCTACTTTACACTTGATGCATTTTGTTTGCATACACATTTAAGATTAGATAAACAAAAAGGATTTTCTTTCTTGTCATATCATGGAACAGTCAAAGCTTCACTTTAAACCTTTTTAGTCTGGGTTAAGCTTCACCCACCTCACTACTTGATCTCGGGTTACATGAATTAAATGGAAAACTTTTCTTACTACACTGAGACCCACAGATGCCCACTTTCCATTTACTGACTGTCTGATGGAAATAAATCTGGCAAGCCGTTTCAGATCAGCCATTTCAGTCGAATTGGCAAGAAATTGGAGAGAATTTGAGTGTTTCTAAATTATGTTTATAAGGCATTAGGTTGATACAATAATCACTTTTGAGGGAGAACTATTCACTGAATTTGTCAATGCATGCCAAATCTATTACTGTGGTCTCAAATATTTCAGCCCCTGCTGGTAGATGCCAGAAATACACCATTTGGACACAAACGGCATATTTCTCCATTGATGGCCATATACACTAAAAATATATACATATACACCTTTCTTAGATACTTAGCTGGATATGGTTCTGATTTCATATTTTTACAGAATTTACATTTTGTTGACCTCACCGTATTTAAGATTTGTGTGTTGACATACAGTATATGTGCATTTTAATGTATTTATCCATCAGAGTAATATATTTGCCTGGTGGCAAATAATGACTACCTCGGCTTTGAAAATCAATCATAATGATGGCAGAACAAGGTTTGTTAGCTCCTTGCCTTGCTAAATACTAAACAATCTTTGTTCGTCTAGAGTAGACAATCATTTTTAAGTTCATTAGATGAACAAAAGTTTTAAAGTTTTCAGTTATTAGATGAGTTAACTCAACAAACAGACTGTAATATAGGTTACTTTGGGTTTTTTTTTAAGGTCAACTTATAAGGGCAAATGTGCTTATACTGTGTATTTTGCCAAATATTCCCAGTTACTGTATATATATTTGTATATAGATATAGGATATATTATGGTTTATTAGATATAGATGGTTTCATTAACTATTGTGTAAGTGTGATCAACACAACCTGCTAATTGAAGGCAGAAGCACATCTGTACCACTTCACCAGCACTCATAACGGTCACGGGGTAAACATATCGGTCACACTTTCTTAAATCATTCTTAGTCAGGGGAAACACACAGATTTGCATCCAACAGCTTCAAGGTCGAATCGAGGTGAGGCCGAGAAACCGGTGGCTTAATCGTTCAATACTGTAACACTAAAAGCATTGCACCGCAGCCTATATACGTAACCTTCCATGCATTTCCCATTTGCATGCTACAAGACTTTTGCATCTTAGGGTAATGTGCTTTGAATAAGCTCATCCCAGCTGGACTAGCTTTGGGATTGCACAAGCATATAATGGGCACATACAGCAGGACACATATACCCACGACGACCACAGTCGTTAAAAATTGATCGCTCAGAACATGGGACGCTTCAGATGGGAGCTCTCCATGTGATTCGGTGAGTGCCTTTATCAGTGGCAGCTGCAGTTCCCCTCACAGACACTCACACACTCACACTGCCTCTCTGAGCAAGAGAAACAAGGACGTCCTTCTTTTGCCTGGAAACTAGAGATGTTAGGAACGAGCAGTTAAAGCCTCGCTGTATCATTACTGCTCAACTTTCATTCCTGAGGAGTTATTCAGCTTCTCGAAACATTTGAATTCGCTCGTTCAGGTAATTATGACCTTTATGTGTGTGTGTGAATGTGGAACGTGAGCGTTGGGCTTTTGCTCTATGTGGGATGGAGCGGGAGCTGTCCGCCAGCAATGGTGCTGAAAGCAGCTTCAATGAACGAGGAAGTGATTTTGTTTTCGAACGGGAGTAAATACTAAAGCGGGCTATTTTAACGCATTTATAGGCGTACGAAGATACTAGGAGCACAGTAACGTACGAGATTCATCTGGACTCATTCATCAGCCGATGAGTCGGTGCATTCGGACTATAAGCGTGTTGGTTTCAATTCGGATGGACGAGGGAAAGTTTACACACAGATTAAGGGAACGGGGCCACGCGTTGGATCATAATATTCTTTAAATTTACATTCTAGGATTTACAGTCTTAAACTCTATCAATTAGAAAAGATCATCACAACACGGCTTTTCCTGAAATGTTATTTGATATTCATTCCCCGCGAGAAGAACAAACGCTCCCTGCAGATTTATTTCAAATGAACACGATGTTGTCCCGGAGCTTAACGCTATTCTTCCTAGTGAAGGTTAAGTTACATGCAGGCACCGATAAGCCACTAATGGTAGCCCGTGGTAATTTTACAACTCTGCACTTTGTGTGAACTGTATGCGAGGTATATTGACCTTTACTGTCCTTCATGTCGCATCTTGTGAATTGATCGACTGGATAGTATTGTGTATGCCATGCAGTCATTGTTATTACAGGCTTCAGTAATGTTTTGTCGTATAACATAAAAATGCATTCAAGTATAACACCCAAAATAACTGGGTTTAATCAATTCAAACACTATATGAGAAAATCGCTATATCATATTATTATATTGAGGTAGACTAATATATATATATATATATATATATATATTAGCTTTTTTTATAGTGAATATCTCTTTATACAAACTAAGGTTTTTTTTTTTTTTTGCAATTAAGTAATTGTCTGTTTCACATTGTAGATCTGGTGACAAGGAACTACTTGAAAAGCTTAACCTGAATGTAATATTTGGTTGAAGAAGGCAGGAATAAAAAGCCATCATCATGAATTTTGTTATGAAGCAAGCGTTGGGAGGTAAGTTTCAGATTGTCCCGTTTCTCCAAACATCACACACACACACACACACAGAGAGAGAGAGAGAGAGAGAGAGAGAGAGAGAGAGAGAGAGAGAGAGAGAGAGAGAGAGAGAGAGAGAGAGAGAGAGAGATAGAAAAGACTAGGAGCAGTTTAGTTTTACCAAAACTATACACTCATGTACAGTATGCTTGCATAGCAGTACCAATTATGTTTATCGTCTTATATATTACCTTTATCTTGCTTTTCATTTTCATGCACATATAGAAAGAGAACCAAGTGTTGCTTTTTCCTTTATACCTTCATACCTTATCTTATTTTATAATTCAATGTAATTTAGAATAATCTTGTGATGGGTAAGAAAGCAGTTGATCTGTTGGGCAGGTCAGTATCATCACAGATAGAGGTCGTGAGTCTTCGCGCATTTCAGAATCTGCCGCAGCACCCGCACACTGCCTGTTGTTTTCTTGATAAAGGGGTTTGTTTTCTAGCTGGAGGTCAATTTAGATGTTTTTCTCTATTTACTATAACATTTTTTGAATAAACTTTTTGCTCATTGTTATTATTTCCATTTTAATTATTCTTGCAAGACATATCCAGACCCACTAGAATCACTATAACTATTGACAATGTGCTCTGCCTAGCCTTACAAAAAGATAATAATTCCATAAATATTGGCATTAAACGTCCAAACAGAACTGCATCTAAATGTGGTTCATTAATCTCCTTTGCATTCTTAATGAGGATTTTATCCGTCTCACTCTGTGCGGACTTCCGCTCGTCCAAGCACTTAGAGATTGACAGTCCAGTCCCGAGGGACGTCAGGAGATGTGAGGACTGTGATGGTTTATTAGCATGGATGGGCTATAAAAAGGTGGCGTACGACCTGTTTCATTAACCAGCTGCAGGCTGCTTTGCCCACGAGGGTCCTGCCCTAGTCCACTTGCTCCGTCGATACAGAAAATGAGTGAAATCCACTGAGCTGTTCGGAAAGGAATTTCACCCTTGAGAAGAAAGAATGGTCCCCGGCTTCTTGTTTACTCCCCAAGTTTCGTCTCTCATCCTCTCACGTCCTTTTCTAAGAGTAGCAGTGCGTGTCTAAGATAAATTGATCCTGTCTTCAGTTGTTTTTGGATTATTATGTTTTAAAGATTTGAAGTCGCCTATAACTAGATTTGCATTTCCTTCAGGAATTACCATTACTTGCAAAGCAGCAAGAGAATAAGTTTTAGGTAAGCTTAGTTTCAGGCTTCGGTTCTGCGCAAATGATGATGACACTCATGGTGCATCTTGTTTTCAGTTGGCTGCACAGAAGAATCAGACATAAATTGCTAGTGCCCATTTATGCTCATTTTATTTTTGGGGTCTGCTAGAATACATTTACATGATTTAAAGTTTGAAAAACTCATTATTTTTCTCTTACTGTACATTGACGCACCACCTCTTTTCACCATCTGCAGGAAATGCTCTGTTTAAGTTCCTGTCTCTTTAAAGCCCACCTTTCTGAAACACCCAGTCTGCTCTGATTGGTCAGCTGGCTCAGTCTGTTGCGATTGGTCAACTGCTTAGAGAGTGTGTCTGAAATATAACGTAATCTGGTTTCCGCTCCCAAGACTTTATGAGCAGCCGTAAATGTCATAATGTCTGTGGTAATTATGGCGTCAATATTGGCTTCTATCTTTTTTTTTTTTGTCTTCACAATGAAAAAAGTATCCCCTCAACATTATAAATCACTTTCCCAACTGTTCTTTAACCCTTAAATGCATGAATGTTTCCCCTATCATTATTACAAATTCGGGTCTTTAGAGACCCGGATCTATATCTTACACGGATGGTTCTCTAACTGCCGCAAAAGTATAAAACTCCCCTGATATTTGAATAAAAATTACAAAATAATAAAATAAGGCATATTTTATTACCTTTTGTAACTTGGAAGGGTTCAGTTTGATGCTTTTAACCATCATCACTGTCATCACCAGAGCTCTTTTTCCCAGCACATTCAGGATCTGGCTCATATTTGCGATCTCAACCATATTCCCAAAACTATTGGTTTTAACGTCTTCAAAATTAATATTTTGAACGCTGACAGTTTCTTCACCAGATCCATCATCAAGTGACAATGACACTAATATTTGATAGCGTTCAGTACTTGCTCTGGAGTAAATTGCTGAGCCATTGCTAATTTTTGCTGATGGTACTTGTATTCTTTTGATTTATGCCTGCGGTAATTAGTGGAACATCACGTCATCATTGTGTAGTCAGTCAATAATTGTTGCCCAGAAACAATATACTTGCACTATTACATACCTTGGGTTGCTTGCAACCCTATAAACGTTTTACAAAACAAAAACAAAAAAAATTATTAGAAAGCATACATTCTTTTACAATTTTTTTCTTGTCATATTGTTATAACAAATGGATTGAGGATACTAAGAAGGTTGAAGTCTAACTTTAAAGCGGACCTATTATACCCCTTTTCACAAGATGTAATATACACTCACCGGCCACTTTATTAGGTACCCCATGCTAGTAACGGGTTGGACCCCCTTTTGCCTTCAGAACTGCCTCAATTCTTCGTGGCATAGATTCAACAAGGTGCTGGAAGCATTCCTCAGGGACTTTGGTCCATATTGACATGATGGCATCACACAGTTGCCGCAGATTTGTCGGCTGCACATCCATGATGCGAATCTCCCGTTCCACCACATCCCAAAGATGCTCTATTGGGTTGAGATCTGGTGACTGTGGAGGCCATTTTAGTACAGTGAACTCATTGTCATGTTCAAGAAACCAATTTGAAATGATTAGAGCTTTGTGACATGGTGGAAGTAGCCATCAGAGGATGGGTACATGGTGGCCATCAAGGGATGGACATGGTCAGAAACAATGCTCAGGTAGGCCGTGGCATTTAAACGATGCCCAATTGGCACTAAGGGGCCTAAAGTGTGCCAAGAAAACATCCCCCACACCATTACACCACCACCACCAGCCTGCACAGTGGTAACAAGGCATGATGGTTCCATGTTCTCATTCTGTTTACGCCAAATTCTGACTCTAACATCTGAATGTCTCAACAGAAATCGAGACTCATCAAACCAGGCAACATTTTTCCAGTCTTCAACTGTTCAATTTTGGTGAGCTCTTGCAAATTGTAGCCTCTTTTTCCTATTTGTAGTGGAGATGAGTGGTACCCGGTGGAGTCTTCTGCTGTTGTAGCCCATCCGCCTCAAGGTTGTGCGTGTTGTGGCTTCACAAATGCTTTGCTGCATACCTCGGTTGTAACGAGTGGTTATTTCAGTCAAAGTTGCTCTTCTATCAGCTCGAACCAGTCTGGCCATTCTCCTCTGACCTCTGGCATCAACAAGGCATTTCCGCCCACAGAACTGCCGCTCACTGGATGTTTTTTCTTTTTCGGACCATTCTCTGTAAACCCTAGAGATGGTTGTGCGTGAAAATCCCAGTAGATTAGCAGTTTCTGAAATACTCAGACCAGCCCTTCTGGCACCAACAATCATGCCACGTTCAAAGTCACTCAAATCAACTTTCTTCCCCATACTGATGCTCGGTTTGAACTGCAGGAGATTGTCTTGACCATGTCTACATGCCTAAATGCACTGAGTTGCCGCCATGTGATTGGCTGCTTAGAAATTAAGTGTTAACGAGCAGTTGGACAGGTGTACCTAATAAAGTGGCCGGTGAGTGTAAGTCTCTGGTGTCCCCAGAACGTGTCTGTGAAGTTTCAGCTCAAAATACCCCACAGATCATTTATTATAGCTTGTCAAATTTGCCCGTGTTTGGGTGTGAGCAAAAACACACCGTTTTTGTGTGTGTCCCTTTAAATGCAAATGAGCTGCTGCTCCCAGCCCCCTTTCCAGAAGAGGGGAGAGCCTTTACAGCTCGTGTTTCGGATACTCCGGCAACAACAAAACTGGAGAATGTCACGCAGCCAAAATGTCAGGAAAAGTCAGTAGCAGTGTTCAGCCTTAAGTGTTCGAAACAGAGTCGGACACTGATGGAGAGACTCAGGAAGAAGTTACAGTTTAGAATGCAACTGAATGTTTCTGAATGGTTAGTGGATAAATGTATGTAGTTGTTGCGGAGTTAAGTTGATTCAACTCATCGACTTGCATGTACCGCCATGTTAATATAAAAATCTTTAAAAAAAACTATTGTGCAAATCCAGTGTTGAACTGACCCTCATTTGTGAAGCAGTCCGGCGTAAAATGATTTGCACAAATATATAAAACTTAATGACTTTCTTCAGCACATTTCCTTCATAAATGAAATTCAACCACGGTGTTCTCAGTGGCTGCAGATGCCTGGAGACTTTTATGTCCATTGGTACATCCAATAACAGAACATTTGTAGTGTTTTGTTTTTTTTGTTTTTTTTTGGAGCAGACATTGTATATCTCCAGCTGCTAGAGCAAGGAAACACAAATGGCAAACTGCTGCGGCTCACTCAGTGCAGGATCTAATAGAGCAGATCGCCACCAGTCATGGGCGGGGCTTCTGAAATCTGCAACTGCTCATTTGGAGAGATTGTTTATGATTTATGGGGATTATATAAAAAAGAAGTGATAGGTTTAGACACACTGTGGACACACATTTATAACACCTTATATAAGTGAATTTTGCATATTAGGCCCCCTTTAAAAAATGAATGACAAGGAGGGTATAGTGAATGACGTCCCAGGGGCAATAAAGACCCAAGGTATGTGTTTAAGGGTTAAGGGTTTGCTAGGCAGCCAGTGGGCAAATGTGCAACGTGGTAACATTGCTACTTTAAGTCACAGAAATAATGACAGGACTACAAAAACAAAACATTTTTTCCAATAATCTCTGTTTCTTTTTCTATTTCAAATGTCTTTGCATTATATATATATATATATATTTTTTAGTTTTTTTTGTTTTTTTACATAGACAGCTATGCTAAAGGAAAGGCAAAATCAAAAAAAGCATTTAAATATATGCAAGGAAGACGAGGACAATCACAATTTA